GGAAACAAGTGTAGTGATCTTTGATTTTGTTGAGTTGCATTAGGGAGTGACCAAAGTCTTATTTCTATTGTTATATAATATTTTGAGATTAAACCCAAGTTGACTCAAGGCACGACAGGTACATTCTCAACTTTGGTACAAAAATAGGGTTGATTGGGTTGAATTCTTTTTCATGTTTGTTTTGATTTCTTGCATTAAGTTTCAAAAAGTTTTGACTTTGATTTTCTTTTCTACTCTTTTAATTTATTTTATTTTCTCCAGTTTAAAATTTTCTTGTTCTTTCTTGAGGAAAAGAAAGGTTCAAGCTTGGGGAGATTTGTTAGGTGCATTTCATGCATGCATTTTGTAGTTTTAATCCATAAAAGTGCATTGCATTTAGATTTAAACTCATGCATTTTGCATATTTTTCGGGATTTTTCATGATGTAATTTCATTCACACAATTTTGTGATATTTTAGGGACTTTTGGAGGTAGGATATTGTTGGAGGAGGTAAATAAGAGTTGCGGACAAAATTTCGGGACTTGCGGAGCACCGAGGAGCAAGATATCAAAGAAATGAAGATTTTGGCTTTACAGACGTTTACACGGCCGTGTAAATGGAAGCCTTGCGTTTACATGGCCGTTTAAACGTAAATTTCTGCACAGTGTATTTTTGTGTTTACACGGGCGCGTAAACGACAGTGTTAATTTACGCGGGCCGTGTAAACATAAATGCGGGTTTTAAAGCAGTTTTTCACCATTCTTAAAGGGGGAACCAATTTTTTTAAGAGGGGATCGACTTTTGGAGCAGAGAAAGCGATTTTCTTGAGGATTTTGAAGTTGATTAACAGTTGGGAACATTTGATTTCATTTTGTAAGAACTTTAATTTCATTTTCTAGATTTGTGATCTTGTTCTAGCCATGATTGGCTAGAACCCTAGATTCTCCAACTTTATGTCTTGACATTTGGATGTGATTTCAATCATATGACTTGATATTTGCTTTTAATTTCTATCTAGTGAAATTGATTTTATTTCAATCGAATGTTTGATTCTAATAATGATTCTTATTGGCCATTTGAATTAGGGTTAGGTTATTCAAGTTATTCATTTTGCAAAATCCGTAATTGTTTTGTGAATTGAACTAAGTAACAAGCATTAAATTGATTTCTTATGAATGAATTTAGTGTAAATCTTTTCACAAATTCTTACGCTCCTGAGCTTCTGAGGAGTATTGGGTGTTGTTGGGAACATTCACAATAAGCTTAATGCAATCTTTTAATCTAATTCTAAGAGCTTATTTAGATTAGGTTAACAAGGTTAGGATTAATCAAAGAGCTTGTTTTGATTGATTAATGTGGTGAATGGAAAGTGTTAGAGCTTGTTAACACTTTCAAGTACCAACTTAGATAGAATGAAACAAATGTATTGTCATCTTTGATTGACATTGCTGGATTGTCATACATGAAGTTGGAGTACTTACAAATCTTGAACTTATTTCACTTAATCAATTGCTTACTCATTAAATTAGCTCTTATTTGAATCATTGCATTTAAATCCCCCTCTTTTGTGATCATATTATACCTTGCGCAAAAAGGTATAAGCATTTGTCCCGTGTCTCTGTGGATCGACCCTGCTTACATTGTATTACGTTTTTAGTGCAAAGTAACAGTGTTTTTGGAGTCATTTGTACCCCTTTATTTGTTGGGTTTGACACACCTAACATGTCCTAGGTGGCGTCAATTGCGAAACGATTCCACATTCCTTAAGATAGTCGTGGAATTCAAGACTCAGGTACTCCCTTCCTCGATCGGATCGAAGCATCTTGATTTTCCTGCCCAACTGATTCTCCACTTCTTGTTTAAACTCTTTGAACTTTTCAAAGGTTTCTGACTTATGCTTGATTAAGTAGATATACCCATATCTACTATGATCATCGGTAAAAGTCACATAGAAGCGGTTCGCATCCCTTGTGATTGATCTAAAGGGCCCACACACATCGGTGTGTATGAGATCCAATAGACCCTCACCCCTTTCACAAGTGCCAGTGAAGGGTGACTTGGTCATCTTTCCAAGTAAACAAGACTCACATACGTCATCGTCCCTAAGGTCGAATGACTCCAACACTCCATCCTTTTGGAGTTGGGCTATGCGTTTCTTGTTGACATGTCCAAGACGACAATTCCATAAGCATGCTTTATCCATACCATTGGAAGAATCCACACACAACACATGATTTCCTAGGTTATCTACATCCATCACAGTTTCATAAATTCCATTACAAGGAAATGCTTTGGAATATAAAACACCATCTAGATAAGCATAAATAGAACCTTTCTCATTATCGAATGAATATCTAAATCCTTGTCTAAACAAACCATGAAATGAAATGATGTTTCTTGCCATATGTGGAGAATAGCAACAATTATTTAAATCTAATCCTAATCCATTAATAAGCGCTAGAGAATACACTCCAATCTTGGTGACAGGCGACGATCTTCTGTTCCCCATGATTAGATTTATCCTTCCACGCTCCACATCCCTATCTCTTCTTAGTCCCTGAAAATCAGAACATATGTGAAAACCATATCCTGTATCAAGAACCCAAGAAATAGCATGTGATGAATCGTTATATTTAATCGTGTAAATACCTGCGAAAGATGGCTTGATCTTCCCATCCTTGATGGCTTGCAGATATTCTGGGCAGCTTCTCTTCCAATGCCCTATCTTGTGGCAGTGGTGGCACTCTGCCTCCTTCGGGTTAGAGTTGGGCTTAGCAGAACCAACTTTGGTTCCACTAGAAGAGGTACCATCTTGGGATTTTCCCTTGTGGTGGCTCTTTGAAGGACCCTTCCTCTTCTTGCCCCTCCCTTGCCCAATGGTCAAAACAGGAGCAGCGGTTGGAGTGGGAGTTGATGCAACAGACTTATCCTTGAGATTGCTCTCAGCAGTCCTAAGCAAATCCTTGAAGATTGCTCAAGGTGACCTCTTCCTTATTCATATGGTCGGTCATGCGGAACTGGTTGTAGCAGGGAGGCAAGGAGTGAAGGATAATGTCAATTTCCAGCTCTTCATCGAAGTTAACATTTAACTTCAGCAAGCGATCGACATATCTCTGCATCTTTTGCAGATGAGAGGTAAGAGACTCTCCATTACCCATTTTGGCAGTGATCATCGAAGTGATGATCTCATACCTTTCTTGCCTCGCACTTTGGTGGTACCGGTCCACCAAGTCTTGATGCATCTAGAGGTCCAGTCCCCTAGGTCATTTGATATCTCTAGTCTGAGTTCCGTTCAACAAGCCAGTTCTGTTAGATCGCTTACAGTCCCCGTAGTGTCCAGTAGCTGTCTCTTTTTCTTACCTTAACCTTAGGCAAGCGAAAGACAGAGGCTTGAAATCAAAGTTAAGATATCTCCATCCGGTGGGAGTTGCTATCCATATAGTTCCATGGCAGTTCTACTTGCAGCCATTGATAGTTCTCTTGCATCCGCTTTCAATCCAGCAGAGTAAGGGGCAAAAGGATCTGACGCAAGTTGGAGGATCGACAGAAAGCTAGGGTTTTTCTTCTCCCTTATTATCCTTTTCTAAGGAACTAAGGAGTTAACGATATCTCGCTTAAGGATATATCTAGCCAAGCGATTCACCTGATCCAGACACGCCAATAGGCGGGTTTGAAGATAGTAAGTAAGAGTAGTGGCATTCTCATCAAAAGGATAAGTAAGTTCGCAATCCAGTGATAAAGTGAAAAAAGGTGCTTTTTTCTGCGCATATTCCCTGGTGAGGATATGCATATAATATTTTAGGTATTAGAGTGCATCAAGATTATAGGTTACAGTTTCTAATCTATAGGATTGATTCTGGCTTCTGGGAGACTTCGAATAAACTGGAGTACATATAGGATAGACCGGTGCTAAAACCTTTTCTCAAGATATCTTCCAAACTGTTGGGCTCCTTGCTCCGGATGTTGTTCGTACGGTGTGAAAGCAGTTGGTTACGTAGTTTTAGAATTCTGCTGATCCCAAGTAGTCCATCTCCATCATTGCATACGGCAATATAGAAAGTAAAGAGGAAAAGGCATGACCAGAAGAATTGTGTGAAATAAGTGAATTGATCTAGTTGAGGCATGATTGATTCAGTGATGTGACTTCTCCTGCTCCAGTAAATCAGTCTGGAGACTTGCTAATTCAATTCAATTGCCTTGGTTTTTCCAAGAAATACATGGGAAAAATAGGGAGAAAGAAATGGGATTGTGTCAACAGGCCCCTATTCCGACGAAAAACAGCCCCTTTTCTTTTTGTTTAGCCTGTTCCTATCAGATAAATTCTTAAGAGAAGAGGAAAAAAGTCCTCCGTCATAGGCGGCCGAGGGTACCTTCCTAGAGGTTCTTTTTTAATTTGAATCAGGTCTCCTCACTTATGTTTATGCTTATGATAATATATGCCGATCCCTAATCTCACAAATAGATTTCGACCCAATCTCCCATTTGTGAAGCAGATCATGAGTGTATTCCGCCTACATTTGTTAGGTTCTTTGATTCTGTAAGTTTGTCTTGTTTAGATTGCATTGCACGAGAGCGCCCTTTTTTACTTTATATAAAAAATATAGATTTACAATAAATAATAGGTAACCTTCATCAATAAACCTTGCATAAGTGGATAGAGGGAGTTTCAACTCGGCCTTCTACTAAGAGTGTTGCACAAATTCCCTTTCTTATCCCTTCTAGTTTAAGCCTTTCCTTCCTATGTAACCAAGTCCTCCTATGAACCTATCCCCGCCTAAAGGATAGGATAGGATAGATTACAACTATCTACAGGGAAGGGAATCAAAGTGCAGACACTTTAGCTACCCATGGCCACTTCCATCAGGAACATTTTGAATTTCTTTCTTTTCTAATGGCTCTCTTCCTACTGCCTCTCTTGCCTAAAGAGGTCAGTCCACCGCATGTCTGTCTTCCAGTTCCTGGACTCCCAAACCTTGGGTCATTGATTCTGCCCCTGCTTAGGTTAGCTGTGCCCGGCCTCTCACTTCGTTTCGTTCTTCTTCTGTACCGTCGCTTGAATGAAGACACCCGATCGGCCCGACTTTCCCAAATGCCCACCACTGGCCCTTCCCCTTTCCGGGTCTGGATTTTTCGCGTCGTTTCTGTCGTCGTGGTCGACGGGGAAGAAAGAAATGAATGAATGTTCTTTTGGGAAAATGTATAATAATACACCTACCGAGACGAAAGCCAAAGGTGAGTCTAGTAGGTGGACGTATCGAACCGAAATAAGATCTAAGATTGACATCTTGATACACTGATTTACCATAATAATAAATAGAGTCAATGCGGACTCCGCCGTGGGAAGAGCCGCTTCTTTCTTGCTTGATAGGGGGGTTTCATTCACAAAGAAATGGTGTAAGCGGAAGGGAAGGCGTGAATCCTCGATCCTAGCTAGTTTGATCTGTCGAAATAAGGTTCCCGGTTGGCTTTGTATGAAGAAGCCTCTCTTTCTAGCCCTAAGTGAGCCATAGATTGTGAGTGAGCTCTCGGGGAGTAGAGATCGAGCGTAGAATACCAGTGGAAAAATTCTTTCTTTATTTCAATTTTTGAAAGGAAAAAGCGGAAGAGACGCTTCTCGCAAGCAGCAACCATCCATAGCGAGAGAGATCCCTTGTCTTTGTCGCCTACCTATGTCTAGAATAGCACGATAGAGGCCCTAATCTATAGCAAGAGTCTAACCGCCTGCACTTCCGGACACTCATGCCCGATCGTGAGACTGCCTGTTGGACGTCCGATGGCACCTTACTCCGACCTGAGCTATGCAACAACGAGATCGCCCTTGATCCTTGCCGGATGTGCTTGACGGTCCCCCATAATACGCTCACTTGGGGACTTCTTACTCCAGCTGTTGCAAGAGTGTCCGCTAGTTGAACCGCGTCCAGTAGACTCCCTGTTCCGCTCATCCCCTTCGTCAGCTCTTTGATCGGGATACTATTACCTAGGTTCCTAAACTTGGAATGGATGGCGGAGCGTAGGTGGCAAGCAGTTATATGTATACGGTGCTTTACTCGTAGACGCTTCTCCAGCTCTCGCAAGAATTGTATGGGAGTCGTCCTCGGAGGGACTTCCCGAATGACCGTACCGACGAATTCTACCGTAGGGATAGTAGTCGTTGTAGGACTTTTGTAGTTCAGCAGTCATAGTCGCTAGCATGATGCAATGGACTTTCGTGGCATCACGCTCATGGGCCTCAAAGGCAGCGATTTCTTCGGGAGTAGCGGTTTTGATGTTCACATCTTTCAACTCCTTATCAAGGATATACTCTTTGTCCTCATAACGAGTGACCATTCGGATGTTACGGATCCAATCATTGAAATTGGACCCGTCAAAGATCACTCTCCCACACAAGTTCATGAGTGAGAACGAGCCGGATGAGGTCGAGCCTGAAGCGTTGTTGTTGTTTGAGTTCGACATCTGAAGAAGAAAAGAACAAAGTTTGATTAGAAATGAATCCCTAATTAAACACCCAAAATGAGAAATTAGGGCTAGGATCCAACAATATAATTTACATATTAGAAAAGGGATGCCGTAATCTAACATGCAAATAACTTCAAGGTAAGTGAATGACGATTCACTAATTCTCCACCATGAAAAACAAAGAAAATATTTAGTTTTAAATGTATTGAAAACTCCTAGATTCCTTTGAGATTCATTGAACTTTTCAATGGCATGTTTCAATCTCGATATGCCCCTCAAGTTTGTGACTGGGATGCCGAGGATCACAAAGCGGGTGTGAATAACCATGCAAATGTACATGGTGCCCTCATTGTTACAGTCACCCATTCGATGTGCCGGTTAACCACACACGCTCCATCGAACTATGGCAAACAATGAGTCACCCTTTGCCACCTTTGCTTAGAACCAATTAGTGTGCCGGTTAACCACACATGCTCCACCAACTTCTTAGCAAGGGTACAAAGTGTAACTTCATGGGATTGCATCAATTCACTTTTCCTAAAGTAACTAAGATTGGGAATTTTGTAAAAACATTTAGTTACTTTATATAGATTCATTATACTTTTAACGAGGAAGGGTTTGCCCTATCCTACCCGTTCGACTAACGACCCTCCACCAATCAAGGAAGCGGTGGGTGAGAGTGGACACCCATTAAACGGCCATTTTATAGGCCATAACCTTATACCCCCTTATAGATCGGCTTTGTGAATGAGGCCTACTAACGCTAAGACTAGCATTTTAAGTTATATATATATATATATATATATATATATATATATATATATATATATATATATATATATATATATATTAATCTTATAATATTATAAAGTATAAGGTTGAATTTTAAACTTCTAAAATTCTAGGGTTTGAAATTTAAATAGTTAAAATTAAACATTTTAATCATAAAATTTAAATTTCAAAACTTGAGGGCAAGTTTTGAACCTTTTCAAAACACAAAGATCAAATAGCAAATAATTTTCAATTAAACATTTAATTTAATAATTATCTAAATTTGACCTAGTCAATATTACTTGCAAGATAATTCAACAATTAATTTAATTAATCAAGTATTATCAAATAAGGAAATTATTTTATAAACAATTGGTAATTATCTTTTGTTTTTGATGAGGATATTGATAAAAAGTAATAAAATTCGGATTTTATTAGGCTAAAACAATTTAGGTAATTATCCTTAAGCAAAACAGCAAGAAATACCGAAATTCCCTCTGTCTGACGCTCCGACTCGCTGAGTCCCCTTATGGACTCGTCGGTTCATCCTACTCGTCGAGTCCACAATGGGACTCGCCGAGTTCATCAGGCAGAGAGCAAGAAAAACGATTTTTAAGCAAGAATCAAAGCACAAAGCATCAAATTCAAGAGAAGCCAATCAAGGCTCTTATACCACTGATGGGTTTGAGCCATAAGAACATTCCTATGTGCACATGCAAACCCTAATGCTTGGATCTAGGTTTCTCTAATGAACATGCTTTTCATCCAAGACTTGCAAACCCTAGATCTATGGTATACAATTCGAAATTGACAATACAAAAGAGATCTAGATGATTACCTCTTCTTGAAATCTTGAATCTTGTTATCCTTGGATCTTAGAGTCACAATTGTCACTCCTCTAATAGCTTACAAACACCAAGAAGCAAGAGGACGATTTGGAGAGAGGTTGTAGGCACAAAATCGGATCTAGGAACTCCTTAGGGTTTCTGGTAGCCGATTTCTGTAGCCCCTGGGTCCTTTAAATACTTGAGCTGCTAGGGTTACAGCCTGAAACCCTAATTGGATTACCTAGCCCTTAAGCAGACCAATGATCCTTCTAGATTAGGGCTTGGACGAATTCAAGGAGCCCATACACCTTAATTTTGTCCACCCTATGATCCATAAGGATCCACAGCCAAAAACCAACTATCACACAATTGACAGTTCTAGTCCCCTTTATTTAATTAATCTCTTTTAGCTACAGAAATAATTCTTACTTAATTATTGTCTAATATTAATTAAACTATATGATTTCTCCTTTAATATATTAATCATATAATATATTAATAAACCATAATAACCTCTTTATTTATAAATCATCCTATCATGTTGCTTTGGTGAAGGCAACCCAAAAGGACCATGCACAACCGGGTCAAGTACTTACCAAATATAGTTACGGGCTTAGACACTAATCGAACAATAAGTGCCATAGTATACACATATATGGTGGATTTTAGTTCTGATGTTCATCGTAGCCTGTAAGACGACTGAAAGAGTCTGTTTGTTTCTATTGCCAAGAGAAGGGACATTGGAAGTGAAGATGCCCTGACTGCCTGAGAGATCTAAGAGATGGTAGAATCAGATTGTATGGTTCTACTTTAGGTAAGTTCACCATCTAACTCTATTAAGTTCCTATTTATAGATTGTTAATACATGACGTGATAAGATTGCATTTTGATGTTTTGCAGAATCCAAAAGAAAGAAGGAAACTTTGAAGAAGAAGTTAGCTGAGTCTGATCGTGAAGAGATGGATTTCATCGCATGGTTCATGATGGGTTTTGAGCACTATAACATCCCTATGGTGCACATACAATCCTAATGCTTTGGATCTAAGTTTTCTCTATTTATACATGCAATTTTCATTTTCCAAAGCATGAAGCTTAACTAGCATACAACATTGATATTTGAAAAATAAAAATGAGTTAAATGATTACCTCTTTGTTGTAGCTTGTAGAACTTGGCCTTACAAGAGCTTAGCACCTCAAATGTGATGCCTCAAATAAGTCACAAAACACCAAGAACAAATGGAGGATTGTGAGAGAGGTTTAGGAGTCACCAAAATCGTCTATACTCTTCTTAGAAATACTTGTGTGTACCGAGTTTAGGGGCTTAGGGATTACATATTGTAACATCCATAAAAATCATGCCAAATTTAAACATTTTAAAACATTTAGGAATCAACAGTTATTACAAATTTGTTCTCAAAATAGTTCTATATCAGAGTATCCGAGAAACATAGTCATAAAATGTGAGGAGCGGTACGATCACGCCTTTGCCTTCCCACGATCATCTGAAGTACCTGAAACCAAAACAGAAACTGTAAGCCCGAAGCTTAGTGAGTTCCCCCAATATACCGAAACATAACAAATAGTACACATAATAAGAGCATGTAATGGGTCCACAGCTCTACAGACTGGATTACCCCATGGGCCCACAATGTGAGTCTGGCTTGCCTTCCGGGCCCACAACTCACATCTAGCTTGCCTCCGAGCCCACAACATAAGTCTGGTTTGCTTCCGAGCCCACAACTTATGACTGGCTTTCCCCTTTCAGTCCTAATACTGAAACATAACTGATCAGCCCTCAGTACGAGTCTGTGCAAGGCCCAAAATACTCTTATCCAGAGAGTCGATCAAGGCCCAAGTCCAACTAGTCCAAAGGCGGCCCAATCTCGAAGCCCAAATCGCAAAAGCCCAACAGGGATCGTATACTCTGCCTTGCGTTGACCACCGTTGGGGGGGGGGGGTTGACTTTGTACGCTGGGCATACAGAAATTACGCGGGGCGTATGCAGGGTTTCAGCAAAACCCTAATAAGTGCTTAATGGCTTAAGCACTTAAGCCCAAACTTCAGATCCATTGACCAAAAGTGTGTTATAACCATAAAGTCTCGATCTTTAAGACTTTGGACGTCCAGAAAGCTCTTAATACATGGTCTTAATCCATTAAGACATTTCTACTACATGCATGGGACATCCTAAGCCATTGGGACATTATTTTTATCACTTAGAACTCTTTCTAGGGTCTGAAAGGACAACTTATTTCGTCCAAATCATATCATGCACCAACTTGGGGACTTTAGGACAAGAAATGGTTCCTTAAAGCTAGCATGGAAAGATCTATATCATACAAGCATAAAGTTTGAAGCTTTTTACCTTCTGGAGCTTCTAGGGCACAAAACAACTTTAGATCTACAAGCTTGTTCTCCTTCTCCAACTTCTTGATGCAACACCTTCTTCTCCAACTAATCAAAACACACTCTATAAGCTCACACACTCAAGGAAAGGATTAGGGTTTGGGGAAAACGACTCAAAACTTTGGAGGCTGAGGTAAGGGATGGTTATGAGCTCATAAGGATGCTTATATAGCACTCAAACCCTAAATATTAGGGTGTCCTCCTGACGTGAGTACGCTTAGCGTACACAAGTGTACGCCCAGCGTACTAAGGCGCGCCTAGTAGCTTAGCATACTAGCCTTGTTCTCAAAGTTGCAACTTTAGCCCTTAGGCTTCTCATGGGTCGACTCTTATAACCCCATGGACTACAAATGACAAAATAGTAATAGAAGTGAGGATTCAGAATTACCTACAAAATCTCAGGATGTTACAATTCTCCCCCACTTGACCTAGACTTCGTCCTCGAAGTCTGCGGTGGTAAACAGATCCGGGTAATGCTCTCG